GAGTTTAATTGGTTCTGTGTGTTGACATACACTGAACTGATACACCACAACTCAATTCCCAAGGGGAAATTCTTAATCCCAGGCTGATTCCCAATTCTGCTACAGTGGGGTACAAACTACATACATCAGACTAGGCAAAGGCCAATCAAGAGGGCAAGCGTTACTAAGACTTCCTGACACCAAGATTGCAAAGTCAAGTCCAGCAGGCAAATCCAAAGTTTGTCTACTTATAACTCCTCTTTCTTTTCCACCGAACTCTGAGAAAAGGATCAGACTCACTCAGATTTTCCTTTTATTTAGAAGATTGGAAAGCCAAATACCGTGCTAGACGAAACTGTCAAATTTTTCAATTTCTTATCAGCTTCTGTGAGTGTTCACTTTTTTTTTTCTTTTGGGGTCACACCCAGCAATGCTCAGGGGTTACTCCTGGCTCTGCAGTCAGGAAATACTCCTGGCGGTGCTTGGAGGGCCATATGGGATGCCCGGAATTGAACTCTCGTTGGCCGAGGGCAAGGCAAACGTCCTACCTGCTGTCCGATCGCTCCGGCCCCTAGAAGGAATGAATTTTCAAGAAGAAAAAGTTTCAAGGGTAATAGATAAACTCTAGTATCTGGAAAGAAATTTTTTTTTCGTATTTAAAAAATAAGAAAAAGAACAACTAAACAAAGAGATTTAGTTGCCAAGTTGAGAAGAAAGAAAGCTTCAGAACAGTGCAGAGGAAAAGCACTTTAGAACTTTACTCGGGGCTGGCGAGATAGTACAGCAGGCAAAATGTTTGCCTTGCACACAGCCAATGGGCGCTCGATCCCCAGCATCCTATATGGAGTAATTCTTAGTGCAGAAGCAGAAGTAAACCCTGTGCATTGCTGGGTGAGACTCAAAAAGGAAAAAAAAAAAAGTTTACTCTGCTGTTGAAGACAGTATGATGCTGGACAATACATTTTGTTTGTGATGATTTTTCTTAGGGCCACACCCTCTGATGCTCAAAGCTTACTCCTGGCTCTATTCTTCTAGGGATCACTCTTGATGGGGCTCGAGGGATCATAGCGAGTGCTGGGGATCGAATCGAGGTCGGCCATGTGCAAGAGAAGCACCTTAACCACTCCACTCTCTCTCCAGCCCTCTGAGACCCATTCCTGAGCAGCAGCGCTTGGTTCATGGGCAAACATACCTGAAGTCACATAGTAAGAGATGCAGTAAACTCAAAGGAAAGACTCATCCCCCAGGCACAAGTGCACAGGCCATCAGAGACAGAAGCCCTGGGGAGGCGCCTACACGAGGATTCCTCAGCCTCTGTCCTGCTGATATCTGGGGCCAGATCTTCCTCGGAGGTGGGGGACTGTGTGTATGAGCACACCATGATGTTCAGGCATATCCGCCATCGCTAATGCCCAAGTCCAACACAAAAACGTCTGAGAAACTGTCAAATGTCCTTACAGTGCAAACTTGCCCCAATCTGGTGGAGAAGCAGGGCCTAGAGAAGCCATTCTCTCTCAAAGCTCACCCAGCATTATCCTAGGGTAACCCTGATTCCTCTCTCGGGAGGAAAAAGAAAACAACCCTCCAAGAGTAGTCTTAGATTTACAGCAGACCTTTGCCTTAGAAGCTACAAGTGCTGGGCAACTTACAAAGGGAATCTGACCCTGGCACTGGAAAGGAGAATACTGACGAAGAGAACAGTCGCCAGAGTGAAGGAGGGTTGCTAAGAATGGCCCTGAGAGGTCCCTCTGGAAGCACCGCAATTCTCAGTGGATGAACACACACGACCCGTCTGCTCTCTCTGAGGCATAGGTGGAAAGTATCACAGCTCATGGCAAGTCTTATATGAACAAATGGAAAAAGACAGGAAAAAGGCAGGCAAACCACCGGCATCAAAGGAGGGCCGAAGTCAAGCAAGAATGCAATGAGAGGGCCACAGGGGGCGTGGCCCAGTGGCAGGGCACCTACCTCGCATGCATGAGGCCCTGAATCGGCACCATCCCCCAGCACGGCCAGGACCGAGGAGGGCACAAAGCAAGTGTGACTCTCCCCCGCATGTGGGAACAGGACCACACACAGGGCCGACAACGTGAGCACCTCCGTGTGGAACGAGGGCTTCGTGCTCAGGTTTTTTGGTTTGAATTTGGGGCTGTACCTGGTGATGCTCAGGGCTTTCTCCTGGTTCTGTACTTAGAGGTCATTTCTGAGGGACTCAGGGGACTATGCGGGGTGCCGAAGAGTGAACGGGGCTTGGCCATGGGCAAGGCCAGCACCTGACCCACTGTGACGGCCCCCACTGGAGGAATTCTATAAAGCATTCATGTCCAATAAGGAGCAAGAATTGCATCATAGTATGTCCAAGATTGCTTCAAATGCAATTATAGGATTCTGTGACACTCTGCTCTGCACGAAGGCTTATTTTCTTGGGGTTCTCCTTTCCCAATGACAGGGTCTTTTTATTGCTGGCGGGCGCGGGGGCTGGGTCACACTCAAGTTTTGCTCAGGGGCTGCTCCCAAATCGCTACCGAGGGGTCACATCCGACCATGCGGTGCTGGGGATCCAACCAAGGGTTACCACATGCGAGAAACACCTTACTCCCCCTTCCATCTCTCTGGCCTAAGAACATGTCTCGGGTAGAGAGACACTTTGGCATCCAGATCATGAGTACCCCCATCAAAATCCAGCCCTGGTCACTGGTTCTTTACCGCTTATTAGTCAAGAAGGAAAAAGGCAACTTTCCCAGTAAAAGTCCCCAAGCAACATGGAGAGGGTCACTAGAGAGGGAGGACCCGAGATTATCAGGACCAGAGACTATCTATGTGAACTGATTCCGACAGTAACAAGCAAAATAATACCTCTCAACTTTCTCGATCAGAGGCTCCCAGATGTACTTGGCTTAATGCCCCCCTTTCCATTAAAAAAATAAATAAATAAATTCCTCGGTGGCGCCCCTCCAGGCCCGGATGGGAATTTACCTTTTAAAAAAAAAACAACTCTTCCTTAGCTGCACCCAAGACTTCTACTCTGGGTCTTTGCAGCTCCATCATGGGTGAAGCGTAGGAGCTATGAAGTCTAGGTAACACTGTTCTAGATCAGTAGAAGAGGGCACGAAAGGCAAAAACAACAGCTAAAAAAATACTTTCAAACAAAATAGATTCTAAAGTTACTACTCTGAATAAGGGCTGGAGCGATAGCACAGCGGGTAGGGCGTTTGCCTTGCACGCAGCCAACATGGCCCACCCGAGTTCAATTCCTCTGCCCCTCTCGGAGAGCCTGGCAAGCTACCGAGAGTATTCGATATGCCAGACACAGTAACAACAAAGTCTCCAATGGAGACGTTACTGGGCCCGCTCGAGCAAATCGACGATCAACGGGAGGGCCTTACTCTGAATAAAAGCACCCACAGGGGGCCAGAGCAGATAGTAGAGATAGTACAGTGGGTCAGGCGCTTGCCTTGCATGAGGCTGACCGGGGCTCCATCCCGGCATCCCTTGTGGTCCCCCAAGCACCACCAGTGCAATCCCTAAGTGCAGAGCCAGGAGTAATCCTTGAGCACTGCCAGGTGCAGCTGAAAAGAAAAAAAACAAAATAAGCACCTGCAGCTCAGACTGTTAAATGACAGGCCTGAAAGGTGATAAGCACATGTGAGGCGTGGGGGTATAGCCCGCCATACAGACACATAAAGAAATGTAAGAGGAAAAACACACATCCCGATTGTTCCAGGCCATTCTGCATTAACCCTTTAGGCTCAGTGGTGAGCTCTCAGCAGAGGAATTACAGGCAACTGCTTCCTTTTGCTTATTTACAGTTTCTAAGCTGTCCAACATGTTCCTCTTCTGATAAGAATTTAGAATTACATAGGCTGTTGACTGACTGGTCATCCCTGAGAAGTGGGGCAAGAAATTATTTTAGGTGGACTCTTTAGAATGAATCTGTGGATCCACGAAGTATCTGAAATCACCTTTGCTCCCTGCCTCAAACCAGAACTACTCACAATCTACTTCCTCAGTTCCTTTACACACCCAGAAACCTCCCAGAAACCTATAGGTCCAGCTAAGACAGGAAGTCAGCACAAGGTACCAGGAAAGCTCACTCTTAGTTTATGTCAGCGTCTCAGTGACAGCAATGACCTCAATGAGATATCAAGCTTTTAAATGAAAATAAACTCTTCCTTGTGTGTGAAGCCAGACTGCGGACTCCGAGAAGTGGATTATTAAAAAGTAAACCCAGGGGCTGGAGCCGCAGGACAGGTGGGGCACTTGCCTTGCACACGGCTTGACCTAAGTTTGGTCCCGGGTCCCACATATGGTCCCTGAGCTCCCCCAAGCAGTGATGCCTGAGTCGAGACCTAGGAAGGAGCCCTGAGCCCCACCTGATGCGGCCACCTGCGCACAATGGTAAGAGTAGCCCCTGAATATCACAGGGTGTTGCCCCCCAAAGACCTCCCTCCCACCAAAAAGACTCAGCTGTTTTATCTGTCTAGTTACTTGAAAGTGGCAATTCTCACACTGCAGAGCCACTATGGAACCGTAAATGCTCCGAGAACAACACATGATTTTGGTGGGCACCGTGGCAATGCTATGCTCCCTGCTCAGAGAAGAAAAGGTGTACAGAAAGATCGCTTAGAGAAAAGGCAAAAACTGCTGGTAGCAAAGCAGAACCACCCCTAAGCCCAACAAAAGAACTTAAATTCAACAGCATCTGTGATAGCTGCTCGTTCTCCACCAACAAATGAGATGCTCGCCTTCTCCACCCCCTCTCTGCGAAGTACACTCAGCTGATGCACGGCATTCCCGGGCAAAAAAATCGAACCGAAATCTGAAAACCACCCCGGTGGTATAGGAAGGGAGGAAGGAGATCACCGGCTATCTACTTACTCCTGGGCTGAATTCGGTCGTTTATCCGTCGCGGTCGTTAAACCCGAACGAAAGCTTAGCAAGTGTCGGGCGTGAAATGCACACCCCTCTCCCCTCGGGACGAAAAAGAACACCGAAGGGACAGGTGCCTGTCGAAGACTCACCAGCATCAGAAGGTCGGTGCTCGGCATCTTCCGCCGCCGCCAGCACGCTCTGCAGCACTGCCCCTCTGCAAAAGGGAACCGGGTTTGTTTACAGGCAGCGCTTTCAACGCCGGCCTCCGCCCGCCCAGATTGGCCAGCGCGCTCCGGGGCCAGGGTTCTCCCCGGGCTCCGAGAGCTCGGATTTCACTCCCAGCGAGCACAGGCCACGCCCCGCGCCCGCGCCCGCCAACCAGAGCCCGGCAGGAACGGGCACGCCACGCCCCGCGCCCGCGCCCGCCAACCAGAGCCCGGCAGGCGCGCGCACACGCCACGCCCCGCGCCCGCGCCCGCCAACCAGAGCCCGGCAGGCGCGCGCACACGCCACGCCCCGCGCCCGCGCCCGCCAACCAGAGCCCGGCAGGAACGGGCACGCCACGCCCCGCGCCCGCGCCCGCCAACCAGAGCCCGGCAGGAACGGGCACGCCACGCCCCGCGCCCGCGCCCGCCAACCAGAGCCCGGCAGGCGCGCGCACACGCCACGCCCTGCGCCCGCGCCCGCCAACCAGAGCCCGGCAGGAACGGGCACGCCACGCCCCGCGCCCGCGCCCGCCAACCAGAGCCCGGCAGGCGCGCGCACACGCCACGCCCCGCGCCCGCGCCCGCCAACCAGAACCCGGCTGGCGCCCGCGCCAGCCAACCAGAGCCCAGAGGCGCGCGCACACGCCACGCCCCGCGCCCGCGCCCGCCAACCAGAGCCCGGCAGGCGCGCGCACACGCCACGCCCCGCGCCCGCGCCCGCCAATCAGAGCCCTGCAGCGCGGAGTCGCCCTCCCACTCCTGGTCCGACGAGCCCAGAGCCGGCTGGCACCCAGCGGGGCCCCCAGTGGGTAGCCCCCTCGGCTCGGGCGCCCGCCTCGGCCTCGCTGCGGCCCGCCCCGCCCCCTCGGCCCGCCCCGGCGCCTCCCTCCGCCTCCACCCGCGGCCCGAGCGCCCCCGAGGGGCCCCGACGCCGCAGCGGGAGTCGGGGATCGCGCGCCCCGCGCAGGCCTCGGCCGCCTGCACGGGACCCCGAGCCGGCGCCCCCCCCCCCCCGCCGGGCCCCGCCGCGGACTCCCCCCACCTCCTCCGTCCGGAACCGGCTCCCCAGCTCCTTCCTTCGGCTCGTCCTCGCCGCGCGAGCGCCCAGCCGGCGGCGGGCCGCGGGCTCCCCCTGCCGCCGCCGCCGCCGCCGCCGAGATTGCGGCTCGGACCTCCCGGCCCCGCCCCGCTCGCCCTGCCCGGAAGTGACCCGGGCCCGCCGCGCGCGCCCCTGCCGGGCCGGGCCCCGCGGCTCCTGCGCGCCATCTGCTGGCCAGGCAGGGGCCGACACCCAGTCCTCTTAAAAGCTCCAGCTCGGGGTAGGGCATTTGCCTTGCACGCAGCCAACGTGACCCACCCAGGTTGGATTCCCAGCACCCCATATGGTCCCCTGAGCACCGCCAGGAGCAATTCCTGAGTGCATGAGCCAGGAGTAACCCCTGAGCATCGCAATTCCTGAGTGCATGAGCCAGGAGTAACCCCTGAGCATCGCCGGGTGTGACCCAAAAAAAGCAAAAAAAAGATAAAGATCGGCTCACCAGCCGCTCTTGATACCATGCAGACGGGGATCAGCCCGCAAAGCACTGGACAGTTTGATCCAGAACAGCAATTCAAGTTCCTGAATTACCCGGGTGGGGCCTCTGAAGCCTGGGTTCCCGAGCGCGGGTCGTGCCACTGGACATTGGCATCAAAGTTTCCGAGCCCCCAATTAAGTCAGAATCAAACGAGCGGGGCCGGAGTGAGCCGGGTGCAGAGGAGAAGGTGCTCGCCTTGCAGCCAGCCCGCCCAGCGTCCATCCCTGGCTCCCCGGGCAGTTCCCCCAGGAATAACTCCAGAGCATCATCGGCAGGTGTGGCCAGAAAACAAGCATCAAGGAATGGCAGTGCCCGCTCGCATTGTTTCCCCGGCAAGAAGAGGTCACCGTGGGAAAAGCTTCAGAAGTCGCACTCTGTGAAGGCCTGAAGAAGGCCTTCTGGGTTCAATGGGGACCAGGGATTGACCACTTGTCTTTCTGGAGCCTTCCATTGGAGGTCAGTGATGCCTGAAGAAAAACATGTGAATCATCCCTTATCATCCACACATGCTCCTAAAGTGACTCCGGTGGAGAAGAGATTGGCCAAAAGTGACTCGTCAGAAATACTTCAGTGAGCAACATTGGGAATCATCTGATGTTCTTGTAAAAAGTGGCCACCAGGCTCACAAAAGCCATGCTTATTTTCCAAATGAAAAAAGCAACTTTCATAAAAACATCTTTCCGTGTCTGGCCCATGTTGTCCTAGCCCACATTAAACAAAAACTGAAGGCACTGAAGGAAGTGATCGATGATCTTACCTGCAGTATTCTTTACCTTTTTTTTTTTTAATTACACTTGAATCGTAAACAAAAGCGATACCAAGAAGAGGACCCTGTCCTGTCCCGCACAAAACACTGGCTCGAATTCAGTATGTCAGTTTTCATGCTCACTGTCTTACCCTCATCTGTGGCTATTAGGATGGAGCTCCTTGTTACCACCTCTGCTTGTCTCTGCGGATCCCTTTAGCACTGTGAATTTCCCAGCCAGAATGACTTGGTCCCTGAAGGAATCAAACAAATTATCTCTGGGCTTCCTCACATTTACCCCAACACTATCACAAGTCCAGACAAACCTACCAGCCCGGCTCTTATACCAGGCACAGCCCCATCTACCTCACCTCCACCAAACCCTTAATCTTGTTCACCAGGAGACGTGCATTCTCGATGTTGAAGCTGGAGAGACTGTTCTGGGCCCTCCAGCCAATGCCCGCTCTGTGAGAGCAGCTTTGTGAGTCCACGACCTACCTGCGCCCACCACTCTATGTTTCTTCACCGTTTCTTCAAATGCTAAAAATCTCCCCCCTCGTCCAGTCTCCTCCTTAGCTGCAGCTCATCACTTCTGAGTGTCTCTGCCAGCTGAGTGGGGGAAAGGGTCCACACCTGAGGCCTCCACTGCATTACAGCTTCACTGTTCCACCAGCCCATTGTTGGCACTGAACAAACCACATCAACCATTACAGACTAACCCTCAGGGGTGGCATGTGTTTCCACCCATGCCCCTGCCAGTTCACATGTTGAACTCTACTTTCAAGGTGGGCGTTTGAGAAGTGATTAGGTCGAGGCAAAGTCGTGAAGGAAAAGCTCTATCATGGAATCAGTGTCCTTACAAGACAAGGAAGCGGGACCAGCATGTTCTCCATGCCTGCACAAGGAGGTTGTGTATGCACACAGTGAGACGGGTGGTATCTGCCCTCACCAAAAATTCAAATCTGCCAGCACCTTGAACTTGCTGGCCTGAAAAACTGGGATGACTGCTCTTTAAATCACTCAGATGATGGCAGTTTCCAATAGCAGCCTGAACTGACCAGAACACTTAGCCAAGAACTATGCTAGGCACTTTTATCTCCAAGGCCTTGTCTACATCCTAATGTGCACAGCTCTGGTGACTCACTTCCCTACTGGTAAACAAAGGCACCAAGGCGCAGAGATGGTAAATGATGATCCCATAGACACACAGCAGGAAGGGGTTGGGTTCAGAGGGAAGTTACAGCATCAAACTTTGTGGGGAGGATCTAAAACGTGCTGGTTCATTCCTTGGAATCAAAGCATGAGGGAGCTCAAAGGACCTTCAGCAATTTGCCAGGTCAACTCAGCCCCACTGTATGTGAAGGAAGAAACCAAGGCACTTTATGACAGAACCCAGAAAATGTGTGTGTGTGTGTGTGTGTGTGTGTGTGTGTGTGTGTGTGTGTGTGTGAGTTTGAGGCCCTTTGCGCTTCTGTGCTACAGTCCCCCCTGAACATAGAATACCATCAGGGATGAATGGGCCAGAGCCGCCATAGTCCAACAGGAACCAGCCTTGCACATGATTGACCCGGGTTCCATCCTGGCACCCCCTACAGTCTTCCAAGCACAGTCCTCCAAGGAGTGATCTACAAACACAGAGCTAGGAGTAAGCCCTGAGAATCACCAGGTGTGGAACAAAACCAAAATAAGACAAAAAAACAAAACAACTGAGATAAGCAAGAAAAGCATCAAGTTGAAGAAATCAGAGATAAAGGATGCAGAGGACAGAGTGAGAAAACTTCAGCCTTCACCAGGAAATTACATTCATTGCACCAGAATGGAATAAAATTCGAGCTATGGGTTTGGTATGTTCTGCGGGTCTTCGTGTGTGCTTGAAGCAAATAGGAAGATGGGGAAAGGGCGGGGGGGGGGGCACCAATCAAAGGTTGGATTAGAGTTCAGAGCAGAGAACGATGTGGAAGGAGTGTGGCCTAGGCTTGCCTGTGGCATCTCCTTTCCCAGTCCGCCCCCAGACGACCCCACACAGGGGCTAGACCTAGGGGCCGAGCAGAATGCGAGGGGGAGATGCAGAGATTGTTTCCCTCTGAGAACCATCAGCACTGGTGATATCTGGGGGATCTGTTCGAGATGGAGATTCCTGACACGCCATTCCAGACCTTCGGAATCTAAATCTAATTTTTTAAGATCTCCCAGTGACATCAAAAGCATAATTAGATAGAGGAGTAATGCTGGATTGAGGGTGGCTTAAGGCTTCTCAAACTTTTCCCACTCGCGACACTTTTCCACCTGAGAAATTTTCATGTAAGCCCGGGTATATAAAATAGGTCATGGTCACAGTCCTCCCATTGTTCATCAATTTGCTCAAGCGGGCCAGTAACGTCTCCATCGTGAGACTTGTTGTTACTGTGTTTGGCATATTGAATACTCTCGGTAGCTTGCCAGGCTGTCCAAGAGGGGCGGAGGAATTGAACCTGGCTCTGCTGAGCTGGCTGCATGCAAGGCAAATGCCCTATCACTGTGCTATCGCTCCAGCCCCATATAAAATAGGTATACAGATCAAATGTACCAAAAAGAAAACAATTATTTTAGAAGAAAACTTTTGCCTGCCCTACATTCAGTAACGTGACCCCACAAGGGTGACACCCACAGTTTAAGAAGCCAGTGGTTAAGACTTTAAAAAACAAAACAAAAAAACAGCAGCTAGGGCTTACGGCCAACGATGAAGAAAAGGTGCAGAGAATGGGTGAAAAGTAGGGAGGAAGATGACCTGGAATTTTACTTCTGTGGCTTCTCTTGCATTCTCTTTCCTTCTTGTTGTGATGATCTGGGGTCATGCCATCGGTCATGGTGCCAGAACGCACTGGGTCAGGGTACAAGGGGATCCCTGCTTTGCCGCAGCATTGTAGGTGGGTGGTAGTCAGCCTGTGGAAGGTGCCCCAGGTGCCCAGCCACAGCCCTCTGCTGTGGCATCTTCCATAACCATCCATGCCGGCACATCTGGTTCTGTTTAACATAGCAGCTCCCTATGGCCAAGTTAGGAACAGGATAACCCTCCCCCAAAACATAAGCGCGCGCACACACACACACACACACTCCCTAAAATGCAAGAGCACATACACTACCCAGGCCTTCACTCCTGCCCCCATCACCCTCCACCCACCACCCTGGGGTCCTCCTGTGGAAACTCACCTCTAGACAGAGTTTGGGGGTTCAGAGCTTCTGGGCTTCTCCGGAAGAGCGGGGACTGGGAAGGTCCTTAGTGGATGGCCATTCCCCAGAGCCAGCAAAACATTCACCACGAAGAGCAACAGGTGGGCTTAGTCCTGAGGGAACTGTCATGAGGACACCAAGTTACGGGTCAGCCCAACATGGGGGCAGCCGGCCCACAAGCATGCATGAACACGCCGGGGTGAACAAGGTGCAATGAGGACCCAAGGGATATGGCCCCAAGTCCTTTCAGCCAGAAGCCAGTCACCAGGCCTCAGAGAAGTGAGGGTTCTTTTTTGAGGAAGCCCCACCTTTCCCAAGGAAACCGGCCACGGCCTCCAATCTACACCCTCGCTCCTACCAAAGCATCGACAACTTTGCAGTGCTTATCAAAACCCAAATAAATACAAACTTCCTCGGGCAGAAGGAAACCAACTGGCCTGGGCCCGCTCAAGGACAGAACAAGCTTTGAAGGCAAGTGGCCCCGCCTGTCCTTGGAGCTCAACTCTGGGCCCCCTCTCCCTTTGTCTCCCTGTATTTGGCCCTTCTCAGCGGTGACACAAGGCTCTAAGCATTCACTCCAAGACAAACGGCAATGGTAGGAGATGGACTGTGTATCCACCCACGACTCAAGTCCCGTCAATTC